CCCCCACCCCCCCCCCCCACCCCCCCCCCCCACCCCCCCCCCCCGGATGCAGCTGCTTTAACTCTTTGGGTGGGGGGAGGGTTGCTTGGGCCACCCCACTTTGTGAAAAGCTTCTTTCAAATGCTTTGCATAGTTATACTGTCAAGGTATATGAAGGACATTAATGTTAACTTGCATATGATGGGAGTAGGAAAAATGTTCTACAGTTTCACAGTTACGTTCATTCCAACAGCCTCCCATTTCTTTCAACTTTTAGCCAAGAAGAAGTGACAATTAGACACATGCTGGCATTTACTCTTCTGCTCAAAAACTGTGCTTGACAGGCAAGACGAAATCTACCAATACTTACCAATTGAATAAACAGAAGTGGGATGGTGCCTCAGAAATATCACAATTCCCAGGTAGACAAGAGGGTTCTCTTTCATCACTCCCAAGCAGTGGAATGCATTCTATTTAGAATACAGTATGTGCCCCCCCCTTCTAACTTTCAAAAAACTGTAACAATATTATTATGAATTTATCTTTTTATATTAATTTCAATATGTTATTGTTTTGTTTTTCAAAAGGCTTTTAAAGCAGTTACAGTTAAATGCTTTTATTTTCTACACAGGCATATTTTCTTGAGGTTATTTTAACAAAAAGTACATGTATACACACACACTTTTCTGGATGTATATCTGTTTATTTGTTTAGAGTCAGATCTTAACGCCTTCCTCCAGGAGCTGAAGTTGGCCCACATAGCATACACTTCTTCCTACTTTTCACCAGAACTTGTGGGATATGTTAGGCTGAGAAACGAGTGGCTGAGAGTGCACTGAATCTGGATCTTCCAAGACTTAATCTAACACCTTAACCATTACACCTCTCTCCCCCCCCCACTCTCTCTCTCACACACACACCCACACCCATACACCCACACACTAATCTAGGAATATACTAAACACTTCTATTACTGATGTGATAAAAATGATCTCTACAAAATCTTTGGGGGGGGTGTTTACAAAATCTATCATTGTAAAAGAAGAAAACAAAACTTTATGAGGGCAGACAAATAGACTCAAAGATTGTTAGAAGAGATAATTTATTTGGTTACATCTATGAACCCATTATATTTATTTTGGAGAGAATGGGCCATTCTTTGTAGAGAGCTGGGTGAACCTTTAATAACATTTCACTACTACAGTCCATTTCAGATTACTAAAAAAAAAAAAAAAATGAAATGATTTTCTATCATTTGTTATTTTTAATGCCTCTTACAACAATGTATGTTTTTCAGCTGAAAAAGAAAGTGTTGAACTATATATGAATCACTTTCTCTCTCTTTCTCTGATCATTTTTCCACTCATTTCAGTAAGGGTACTTTAATAATTCCTTAACACACTGTTTGGTTTATGTCTCCTCATTTTGCAAAGAAGCCCATATCTCTATTAAAATGAGACTGAATGATTAACTAGATGAATTTGAATGGATATTTTAAAAGAGCTGCTTCTCTATAATCATTGTGCTAAAAAATGCTCATGTCTATTTGCATTAAGGACCTCATGGATTTTGCAAGTGAAAAATGAAAGCCAAAAATTCAGAACTGATGCCTGATTGGCAAAAAGCCAGTGAAGTGAAATTAGGAACACATGTTGAGAAATCCATTTTGTGACAGCAGATCCATTTCTCAAAAATGGTAGCTTAAACCACCATCAGTGTCTATGGGGCCTTTTTTCTTACTCCTCCCTGCCTTGAATTTTCTTTATATCAGTGCCCTTCTCCTTGACACATAGGTTTATTTCCCAGGGTGGGACCATACTAGCTGAAGGATCAGAACACAGGCAAGGTTCTCTCATTTAGCTAAGCTATAGTTCGTGATCATTATGAGTAGTCGAGTGGGACATAACTGAGTATATACAACACCCAGGCCAAAAAGAAACCAGATTATCCCTTTTAGTGGCCAAGGGCCACATTTTTTATTTTTTGCATGACAGAGAGATGCAATATTAATGGGGCCACATCACACATACGGGCAGGAGTGGCATTTGGGGGAAGAATTTTGGAGAACTTTATTTTTATAATTGTGATGCTTTTGTTTTAGGGCTTACATTACAGTTAACAAGTGTTTCCCAGTCTCAAAATGATGGGGAAACACACGTTTCACGTCTAGCAGAAAAATTTCTGAGGGCCATACGAAGGGATGTACCTTGTTGTTTTGGGGCTGCAATTGCTCAGTTCTGGCTTAAAAGGACATGTGAATCCAGCAATGCCTTATACACCTCTATGGATGAACAATGTGGGCTTTCCAGCAGTAACTGCATTCTAGGTCAAATGGGATATGTGATCCTCAAAATACAACAGTAAGATTTCATAAGATTAATTTATTATCAATCTGACAAAACATGAATGATCAGCCAAAATATCTTTCTTCACTTTTCAGTGCCACAGAGTGCCACAGTTAACTTGGTGACTAACAACAAAAGTTCTTTTTATCATCTTAAACAGTGTTCATCTGAAGAAAGAGCACAAGGCTTGTTCTCTCATATGTGTAAACAGCGTAAAACATAATGCAACTTATCTGCCTTCTGAGTAGCTACTCTCACATGTAGATGGTTCTCCTTGAGGAGGAGCCTATAAACTTTTATAAAAGATTGTAAACTTTTATCAATGTTCTGCAATGCTGATGACAGTGGAGTAATTTACTCTATTACCAGAAGTCTTTTTTATCCATGTTTTTACCCATGTTTATGTAAAATTAAGGATGGAATCATGCAAAGAATGTCATCAGCTGTGGTTTATCCCATCACAGCAATTATATAAAAGTGGGCACATCAAGTTCAGTTTTCAAAAAGTCTATTAAATAAGATACCTGCCCATTTTCCAAATCATTAAAGATCATTACAGGTAGTCCCTGGGTTAAGAACACCTGGGTTACAGACAACCCATAGTTAAGAACGGAGCCTATTGTAGCAAAATTTGAGTTAAATAC